CTTGGGCGCCGCCTTTAGCACCATCGGCATCACGGGGACCACAGGGTTCCTCGCAGGTGCAGGAGGTGCCGCCGTCATCACGACGGGTGGAGTGTTGACGGGATCCAGCATTGCCGTCCGTGGAATGATTAATAGGACACAACAAGTACGAACTTTCGAGTTGCTGCCGTTACACAACAATAAGCGTGTAAATTGCATCCTCACCGTTCCTGGGTATGCGCGTGTAAAGTCTCTCGTTCCAATTTTAATCATTTCTTAGGTTCATGACTGGGAAGCTAGATGACGTCCGGCTACCTTTCAGTGTACTGGATCCCGTCGTCGGAGATGTGTTCAGCGTGTTATGGGAACCCGAGATGATTCAGGAGACGGGAAGCGCGCTGAAAATCCTTACCGGCGAAGTTCTCACGCAGATCGGACAAACGGTGCTGCAAGCGACCGTCATGACTGCCCTTATGAGCGCCCTTCAGTGGCCCATCAGTGCGTTTTCTTCTCAACGGTCTATTTACAGTGATCTAAACTCGTTTACAGTTCTCACCAAGCTGGGGTATCTGATCGACAATCCATGGAACAACGCGCTCGATCGCGCTAAAGCCGCTGGTAGCGTCCTCGCAGATGTGCTGATGCAGCGACATCTCGGCGTCCGTCCTATCACGCTGATCGGATTCTCTCTGGGTGCCCGCGTGATATTCTACGCCCTTGTCGAGCTGGCAAAGCACAAGGCGTACGGGATTGTGCAGGATGTTTTCATCCTGGGGACGACGGTTTCCGTCCCGACGCGGATGTGGTGCGAGACACGTTCAGTTGTTGCAGGCCGCTACGTAAACGCGTTCGCGCGCAACGACTGGGTGCTGAACTACCTCTTCCGCGCGACAAGTGGTGGTGTTAGCACTGTCGCTGGTCTGCGTCCCGTTGAGAACGTTCCTGGGCTCGAGAATGTCGATGTCACCGACAAGATCGCCGGTCATATGAGCTACCGTACGTTCATGCCTCTCATTCTGGATCAGCTTGGGTTCCCTGTGTTTGCGGATTACTTCGATGACCCAGTGGTGCGTTTACTTAAAACCTGGGTATTGTTTTGGCCATAACGTCATCTACAGGATCCCGACTTTGAAGGCGATCGTATAGTAGAAAGGGAGGAAGATAAAGAGAAGAAGAAAGGCTGGTTTTCCTCGAAACCCAAAGAGCACTCGCGTACTCCATCCGTATCTCGCCCTCCCTCAGCAAGTTCTTTCTCAAAGCATACCCGCGGAGCCCCCGTCTCTCAGGACGATGATCTTCCTCCGCGAGTTGGTACCCCGCTCGGCGCTGGTACTTCCACCCCAACCGTTCCCACGTCACCCACCAAGGATGCCTCTGAGGCCACCAAGGTCCCGATCCACGCTGGATTCGACTTCAACGCGATCAAAGACGTCCTTGGCAAAGCCGAGCTCAATCCCGACGAACTCAAAATCCGCGAGGATAACCAGTTCGAGGCTCCTGCCATCCCGCCCCCCACAAACCGTTCTGAATCCGCTCCGCCCCAACAACAAACTCCCCCAGTAGACGCTCACCGACCCCCTTTCGACCCACCCTCTCCGTCGCGGACCGAGCTGTCTGGCGCATTTGCCCGCTCAATGTCCGTCAACGACGTGCATGAGTCGGATTCGGATTCGGATGAGCCACCACTGCCTCCGGACAAGCCGCCAGCCTATACATCCCCGTCCACCCTGTCGTTTGGTGATCCCTCCGGTTCAGTCTGGTCTCCAGCGGAACCGGACCCACCCCGAGCCATACCGCCATTCGGCTACGCCGCCGCGCAGAATCCCTTCGCATCGTATTCCCCTGCGGATACTGGATTGTCGTTTGGTGGTGCGGATGGCATCATAACGAGCACGTTCTCGCCTGCGGCAGACCCATGGACTATTCCGAGCAGCCTGGCAAAAAGAAGAGTCAGGCGTTTAATGCGAATCCGTGGGGATAGAGTCTTTTACTTTCTACACTGTTGTACCATCATACCACACATAAACTGCACGCATATTACTTACTCCCTTCTACTTAATTTACACTGGGTTGGTCAGGACGTGGCATGGCACGGCACAATATGATTTCGCTTTCGGTCCGCGAGCCTAAGTCAGGAAAAGCTCGGGTAGGGTTGATTGGACTATTGGACCACATTGCACGATAGTCGTTCATAGTCACTACTCTCAATGTCCCTGCAAGATGACCCTGATCTGCAAAAGAAAGTTAAATTCCTCGCAGAGCTTGATTTTGCTCTAATCCAACCGGCAGAAATACGGGGAGATAGATGTGCTTCCTGTGAATCTAGCCAGATAGAGTTTAGACGAAAATCAGTTACATTGACCGAGCACTGGATCGAAACTTATTTTTGCACATCTAGGTGAATTTGATCGCGTGGCTCGGCAGCTTCATTGCGGACTCAATTCTGCTCTCAGTTGTCGCCAGAAAATTAACAGCAGGAGGACCCTATGGCTCGACCTCCGAATGCGATCCGACATAGATGCGGGCATGTGCGAGCACCATCAAAATATTTTTGCAGCTCAGGGAGAATGATAGTATGTATATTGTAGCGTCACTTCGATGAGCGCATCTGCCCCGAGGTAAGGTTGGAGTTGAAAGGACAAAAGAGGAAGCGATAGTCTGGACGTGTATAGTAGTGTATGATTGAATGCTATTACTATCCAGAACGCTTGTGTCCTGAACGAAAATGGAGAAACAAGGTTGAAGTTTCGGCTTGGTCATTTGTGGCAAAGAACCAGAGAGAAAGTCGATCTTGTTTGTCGATTTGGAGGAGAACAGCTAGCATGAGCCGAGACAACCTAGCAAAAGTGAAGATTTTGATTGAGGGACGACGCGAGAGAGGTCTGAGGGCTTGTGGGTGCTTGACGTGGATGTGTAGGGTGTGCATAGGAAAAATTCGATGGGCGCCAGCCACACGGGGAGTCGGCAGAGAAGAGCGAGGTGCGACTGCTGAGGGGAGTAGAGGATGCTGGAAGAATATGTCGGCACTGATGCGATGACGGTCAAAGAAGATCGACGCACCACCGACCATGTTCTTGGGCGTGAGGGGACTTCGAGAAAAGGCGACAAGAGCGAGGTCGGGGAGGAGATGGTCATCGACCGGAGGAGAGTGGTGTCCCTGTAGTGGAAGGAGCGCTCCGCTACTCTCCGACAACGACCACACACCCCCAGGAACACCGACTTTTGCACCGCCCAGCCTGGGTCGAGCGTGGGGAGCCTGATGGACGATGTTATGTCCCTGCTGACAATAAACGTATGGCTAATCGTACCCGTTGGTAGGGAGGTGTATCCTGCTCTCCGTCTTCAGTGTCGGCCAGGGAAGCAGACGATGCTGTGTCCATATTAGGCGATGAGAGGTGGAGTGGATCGCCGAAAGGTTGGTAGTCAAACTGGTCGACCGAAGGAGATCCGTACAGACTCTTACGCTGGAAAGCAGATCAGACGATTCAGCCGGAAGTGAATGTACATACCTTGAGTGAAAAGGCCGGAAGGAGCGTTCCGACATTCCCTGACGACGACGAGCCCGCACCCCTAACAACATACTTGCCGGCGTCTGAACTTGGTCGAGCGTGAGGAGGCTGATGAGGGATGTTATGTGCTGGATAATGGAAGAATAGATAATTTACCCCTCTGTGGGTGGGTGTCTCCTGCTCTGGGCCTTCAACATCACTCAGTGGAACCGGAGACGGGGAAACATGCGAAGAGAGAAGCGGAGGGCCTGAAAGATCAACGATCGCAAGTTGGCGGTTCCTCGCACGCGTCGCGTGCTCGAGATTGGCATCTGAAACGGCGCGAATGCGTTCAAGCACATCTAGTTCTACATGCACGAACGTCGGACTCGAACACAGGCCGCATGAATGGGGGAAACAGACCTGATGTTCTGGCTACTGGTATCGCTGGTGGTGCGCCAGAGGTTCGTGCCTTCTTGAATGGTTTTGCTTCGCTGCAACACAAGTGAGAACAGGAAACCCGACGGAAAAGAGTAAATCGCACAAATTCCGATACGCGTCAATGGCCACGAGAATGGGGGCGCTGAATTGTGTGATAAACCACGCGACCACCTTGTCGTCGTTGCCAGTTTCCAAACAAACACCTCCGAAATAAACATCCAAGGGCCCTTTGACACCCACACCCTGCTTCACGATGGACTGCACACGGGGGTGGCGGTACTTCCTTGCAACTTCCGCAAGAAATTCTTCAGAGTGGAAGCAGGCTTCCAGGGCCTGCAAGTGGGTCAACGATAGGCACCGGGAACGAAACGATCAAATTCACGGCGAATAGACCTGGGACAGACTTGTAATCGTCCCTGTCTCCCCCAGTAACGGCAAGATATGCCATTAAGAAGCCATGAATCCAGGAACCCCGACCTCTGATACGAAGACCCTCTCGCACCCCGTCGAATGGCGAGAGCACCCGCTCCCAAATCTCGCTACGATTGGAGCGGATCGTCGGAAAACACACTCTGAATTTTGGATCCCGGATAGCAAGAACAAGTGTATCCATGATATAGCGGTGGCGGTCAGGAGACATTCCAGATGAGAATGGGTAGCGCGTGCGCGGTGGGAGATGGTGGTTGGAGAGGAGGTTGCGCTGGCGTGACACAACAACATCTGCAAACAAAGTCGCGTAGGCGTGTCTGTTATCCCCATCCTTGGGCACTCACACCATCAAACATATCAAGCCCAAAACGGCGTGGGGTTGGGAATCGCTGTTTATTGAGCCCAATTGCAGTGGTCAGAGTCTAACCGTTTACTTAGGACCATGTCCTCATCTATCAATGTGAGCCGAAATTGTGGTGAAGGAAAGAAAACGAGCTTTTCGACCGTCACTTCTGTATATGAACTTTCTATTTGACCTTGAACAAAAAGAATTCGAGCTCCAAGGAGGAGGCTCGCAGCTTGCTGGCATCATTGAGCCCAATCCTGTACTCCTACTGGCCCACAGCTCCCAGGTCTATGGCCTATGTTACGCAGTCCTTTCGCGCAACCATGGTGCAGTGGTTATTGTGTACCGCCTCTGGGAGACGTCCCGAGGGGTGGTCGTGGGTTCGATTCCCGCGGATGCACACAGAGTGATGCGAGAGTTGGACCGTCTGAGTACTCAGAACTCACGTGAGTGAGGAAGGCCCGAGGTCAAGAAGTCACAGCTCCGCGCCGCCGGGGTATACTCGCAATGATCGCCACTGAGGTGTAGCTTGTGCAATGGACGTTCGTGTGTCACTACCGCGATAGACTCACCCATCAGGCATATTTTTTGGCTTTCATTTTCGTAGAATATGTGAAAGGTGAATGTATTTCACACCATCGCGCAAAAAATCATATGAAACGGTGGGTCCAAGAGTAGACAGTAGAGAGTAATTTACAGCTAGAACTTTGTAGGATTGTACAGTCAGATCCGAGACTAGTATGCTAGGAATGTTAGAGCTATTTTCTTGCTCAATTTTTTATGAACGCTAAACATCACATTGGACGGACTAAAAAGCATCCCAGTCATCAGGCAATCCCTCCTTGACCCTCCAGCGCTGATCTGCCCCACCCAGCCACCTTGATACTCGCGCCTCGTCGTCATTCTCCGCCCCTTCCTCAAGAACTTCAACGTCCCCAGTTCCCCACAACGCCAGAACTGCCCACCCAATAACCATTATCCCGGGTGGTCGCTGCTCCCCCACACTGTCCAGTGCCCTCACGATGTCTCGTAAAGTCGATGCGACTACCCGCTGATCGGGCATGGACGCACGCTCAATGATCGCTATCGGAGTGTGTGGCGGGTAGGCCATCCCCGCACGTCTGGCCGATATCACCGTGTCGAGCAGCGCTGCGATGACCTGCGGCAGGCGGGCGACACCCATGAGCACAACGAGCGTCCGCGCGCGTTCATATGCGGGGAGCTGCACGTCCTTGCCCTTACGCCCCACACCAGTGCAGACGATAAAGGACTCGGCGACGCCGCGCTGCGTAACGGGGATACCCGCAAAAGTCGGTCCCGCTAGAGCAGAGCTAACCCCGGGAACGACGACGGGCTCGAAGCCGTGAGCCCGAAAATACAGGACTTCCTCCCCGGCACGGCCGTATACGACGGGGGTCGCCTTGTTTTAGCTGTTTGAATGAATAGAATCAGAATTTAGGTGTTGATATCGCTCGTGAACTGCGTACTCGAACAACAGTCAGTCCACGTTTAGCAGCCTCGACGGCGGCTTCCATCATTTCGTTTTGCGCGCCTTCAGCGTTTCCGGGGAACTTTTTAGCGATCCGGACCTGCACGATTGGTGGGATGAGTTCAAGTACCGCAGCGGGGACCAGTTTGTCGGAAAGAACAAGATCGGCCAGCTTTGTGAGGGCCGTATGTGTTGCGAGAGTAAGTAGGGATGGATGGCCAGGTCCTGATCCTACGAGCAGGATCCGTCCTTTTCGACGAATGTCAAGCGAATGAAGAGAAGGAGGCAAGATAGAAGACGCGGACGGCGCCGTCGAATATTCTCCCGCCAGAACTTCCCGCATTTCTGGCTCGGTCATCGCGGCGAGCTTGGACAAAGGCCAATATTCGCTTACTTGAGCGACCCATTTCATTCTCCGGCTCATTGCTTCGGCATCTGTCTCAATGGGACTTCGTGAGGGAACAGGCCGATTCGGAGTGGTTACGCCACTGTCTTCGCAGGAGTCATCCTCCACAACGCAGGTATCATCCTCCGAGACACCAGCTTTCGCGAAGCCGCGCATCGCTCCAACTCTGTCTACGGCCGAGCCCACTTCCTTCGGGAGAAGACTGACGATGTCCCGTTTTACACGACCGGCCAATCGGCATCCCTGCCCGTTCGTCGCGATCCCAATCTGCAACGCCGTCCGGCGCCCCGACACCGGGTCCTCGAACCGGTGCGTGGACGTGAACGAGAAATCGCACAAATTCGGCATGTCCGTCGTGTTGACGGGGATATTCCGCGCTCTGCAAACGCGGTATATGCGCTGTGCAGATGCGTGGGTGCGGCGGTGGGGGTCGCTGAGGAGAGTGTCTGTGACACAGACGAGACTGATATGGTCTTTCGTCGTCGCGAGGAAGCAGTCGAGTGTGCCGTCCTCCTCCCCAGCGCTCGATTGCGGCAACGCATCCCAATCAAGCATGGAAAGCTGCTGCTGTTGAGCCCGCCACTGCAGCTCTTCGCATGCGGATGCCAGACCACCTTTTGCGATTAAGGTGACCGCAGAGTCTGCTTCAAGCGCCGCAAATGCGCGTGAAGCCGCGAGGGTCCCAGAGCCAAGGATTAGAGTTTTGCGACTATGCAGTCGAAATGAGAGTACAAGCGATGCTCCGCCTTGAGGCTGAGGGAAGGCTACGGGTCCTTGCTGGCTTTGCGACATCGTGGAAGAGGTACAAGTTCGAACGTGTGCTTTAGGCCAATCCTCCGGATGGCAATACGAGTCCATTTTCGGAGACTCAAATATCTAGTCGGAGATTGAAAAAATGAACTTGGCTCACTTATGTACAGGTACTTTAAGTTTAGCTCACGAATCACAGGTCTCAATTCGGACATTTCGTTGTATGTACAACTGCGATAAATTTGGCATTCACATTGACGTCGACGCTACGGAATATGCAAATGATCAGCCTAAAAATCGAATTTGCCCTGATGTAATTAGATTCGAAATTGTAAAGTATCCGAGCTGTTCTAAGTCTCCGAGTCGTTGAGAGTCAAAAATATTCACACTTTATATTCAAGCTTTTCCACCACCGAGAGAGGATGAATCTCCAGAGGGATCTGTGTGAATTACCAAACTTCAAATACCTTGCTATAATTGAATCTCAAACCAATGATGCTGTTCGCCTGCCAACCTTGGATCCGTCAATGAAAAATACAATTAAAATGCCATGAAATCCTGACTCAGTGCCGATTGTCGCCCCAGGTCTCGCTCAACTTCGATGTAAACTTACATCCCCCGACTCTGGCAAAGTTGCTTGTTCTCTTTCCACTACCTCCAATTATGAGAAGGTGAGAGAGGCAGCACAGTTGTAACAAGGTGCCACAAACCTTTTGACATTCTCCAATGCAAGAGAATTTTGAGTGACAGTAAATGGATGAGCACTTACTTCCACGTGCCTTCAATAACAGGAAATCTTGCAGGATGCACACCCATTCCCATCCTGGTCAGGCGGCTTCCGACAGTTTTTGCAGACTTCTTGAAATATGGCTTAGAGGGAATCTTGTTTCCAATGTGGCCAAAGTTGATGGTGTGGGTCCATACACAATAATCCACTACATGTCGCTCCACTCCTTTTTGACGGTTTTTTCACTAGTCTCTCATGACAGACGCTCTAGAAACGAGACATTGCTCATGCCTCGACTTTTTCACCG